AGTGGACGGTCAGATCCTAACTTTCTCACGGCCAGTGGACGGTCAGATCCAAACTTTCTCACGGCCAGATCCTAACTTTCTCACGGCCAGTGGACGGTCAGATCCTAACTTTCTCACGGCCAGTGGACGGTCAGATCCTAACTTTCTCACGGCCAGTGGATGGTCAGATCCTAACTTTCTCACGGCCAGTGGATGGTCAGATCCTAACTTTCTCACGGCCAGTGGACGGTCAGATCCTAACTTTCTCACGGCCAGTGGACGGTCAGTCAGATCCAAACTTTCTTACGGCCAGTGGACGGTCAGATCCAAACTTTCTCACGGCCAGTGGATGGTCAGATCCTAACTTTCTCACTGCCAGTTTATGGTCAGATCCAAACTTTCTTACGGCCAGTGGACGGTCAGATCCAAACTTTCTCACGGCCAGTGGACGGTCAGATCCTAACTTTCTCACGGCCAGTGGACGGTCAGATCCAAACTTTCTCACGGCCAGTGGATGGTCAGATCCTAACTTTCTCACGGCCAGTGGACGGTCAGATCCTAACTTTCTCACGGCCAGTGGACGGTCAGATCCAAACTTTCTCACGGCCAGTGGATGGTCAGATCCAAACTTTCATACGGCCAGTGGACGGTCAGATCCTAACTTTCTCACGGCCAGTGGACGGTCAGATCCTAACTTTCTCACGGCCAGTGGATGGTCAGATCCTAACTTTCTCACGGCCAGTGGACGGTCAGATCCAAACTTTCTCACGGCCAGTGGATGGTCAGATCCAAACTTTCATACGGCCAGTGGACGGTCAGATCCTAACTTTCTCACGGCCAGTGGACGGTCAGATCCTAACTTTCTCACGGCCAGTGGATGGTCAGATCCTAACTTTCTCACGGCCAGTGGATGGTCAGATCCTAAATTTCTCACGGCCAGTGGACGGTCAGATCCTAACTTTCTCACGGCCAGTGGACGGTCAGATCCTAACTTTCTCACGGCCAGTGGATGGTCAGATCCTAACTTTCTCACGGCCAGTGGACGGTCAGATCCTAACTTTCTCACGGCCAGTGGATGGTCAGATCCAAACTTTCTTACGGCCAGTGGACGGTCAGATCCTAAATTTCTCACGGCCAGTGCTGCCCAGTCGGTGAGCGGTCATTAATTGCCGGCCGTCACTGTACCCAGTGTCACACCAGCTTTTAAAATGTATCCATTGTTTCTTGGCATATAAGCGAAAATATTTGTCACTGATCCGTTTAATGTTTTAGAAAGTGCATGTATTCAATATTTTCGTTACGTTCGTTTGTTAACGTATGCACAAGAATAAAAACTTTGGCAGTCTTTCTATAAATAGACCCTACTTGAGTAATTATGATGGGACATTGTAAATGACGGCATGTCTTGTTTACTTTGTATGGCTCTAGAATGTCTGGCGATGACGGACTGACACACTACCTGGCCACTAGATATCTTAATGTCAATCATGTCCCATTTTAAACCGAAATAATTAGCACTTGTATCGGTAATGCTTGATACCTTGGCCTTCATTAGAGGTTAAAAGGTTTCATGAAACATGATTGGGATGTAATTAAAATTAAAGAAACATGTAATTATCAAATATTTTTAGTAGTGAAATTATAAATTTCAAAAGTGTGTACTCAAAAAGACAAGATTAGAAAATTTAAGTTACATTTTGCAATCAGCAGTGCTAGATGAGCTTACTACTAGGTAGTCCAAACTGGCGAAAAAGTGCGTTTAGGGGTCATACATTTTTTTTTCACAACTTCTAGTTGTGCTATAAGAATAAAAACAGGTAATTAAAAACAGTCTAGTGACAATTTTAGCGCAATTTCCTTGTGTTATCTAAAAATAGCTCTGTCGTAGAGTAAATCAAGAGCAGGGTTAGTAAAACCATTGGTTAGTTATTAAAACGTTTTTTATTATTTTTTTTCCCAGTATTTTACATGTTTTATTTACAATAGAGTAACATGACTAAAAACCATTGCGCGCCTACTGAACGTGATGACGCAGCCATTGAACGTGATGGCGCAGCTATTGAACGTGATGACGCGTGTGGTGTGGTTGCATAAAATGCCTACTAATTCGGTCCAAATTTTAATTAATTCAAAAAATTGTTTGTGGCCGAACGAAAGGATATTTTTGACAACTTTCTTCGGCAATATTGTTCTAAATTATGGCAGGAATCGATTGGTACATGTTTCAAGTCGCTAAGTGGTCTGGTTGCCGAAATATGGGCCAAAAACTGCATTTTTTCGAGGTTTTTTGGCTTTTCCGGGAAATCCATGACAGAAACCCGGAAGTTTTATGGCCTATGTTCATCCTCGTAACTTGCTTAACATAATTGCTTTTGGAACTAGTCCTCGATATTGCTTCGTTGAGGAGGAGATACGACTTAAAGCTGCGGACACACATCCATCCATTCCCAGAAAAGACGAGTTAATAAACGCAATTCTCCAGAATGGAAATTGCGCTAATTATATGTCAATAAAGTTTAAGTCTTTTGTAATATATTGAGCTTTGTGAATTCAAGGGAACTCACTCTTCTTGTATTAGTCTTATATTTATGTTTTTGGGTGATGTCCCTTGCATGTGCTTCCTGTTTCCGATTGAGAATAAAACGTGGTGTGCATAGAACATGGCTTCCTCGTCTGTTGTGTTACCTATCTAAGTACAAATCTACTACATTTGGCGACGAGGATAAATCATCCACTAAAAAGAGCACATGCTTACTTAAGAAGAAGCTTGCTAGAGCATATTGGCTAAGTATTTGCAGGATAATGGCGCTGTATGGCCAGATAAAAGAATTTAATTCGAATGAAGAAACCATTCATGATTATCTAGATAGGTTAAGCTTTTACCTTGAAGCTAACGACGTGACGATAGAAGCCAAAAAGAGAGCTGTTTTGTTAACAGTCATAGGGCCTCAACAATTTAGGCTATTAAAGGACTTATGTGCACCAGCTAGTCCAGCTACCAAGAGCTTTAACGAGCTGAGCAAATTGCTAACAGTCCACCATGCGCCCGCACCACCCAAGTTCCTGTGTAGAGCCAGATTTGACGGTAGGACTCGTCAACCAAACGAATCAATATCAGAATATGTTGCTGCTTTACGTCATCTAAGTGAATTCTGTGAATTCGGGGACACGCTGTCTGACAACTCTACTGCTGGTGTATTTTAGAATATCATTTACTCAACTCTACTGCTGGTGTATTTTAGAATATCATTCACTCAACTCTACTGCTGGTGTATTTTAGAATATCATTCACTCAACTCAACTGCTGGTGTATTTTAGAATATCATTCACTCAACTCTGCTGCTGGTGTATTTTAGAATATCATTCACTCAACTCTACTGTGTACTTTAGAAAATCATTCACTCAACTCTACTGCTGTTGTATTTTAGAATATCATTCACTCAACTCTACTGTGTATTTTAGAATATCATTCACTCAACTCTACTGCTGTTGTATTTTAGAATATCATTCACTCAACTCTACTGCTGGTGTATTTTAGAAAATCATTCACTCAACTCTACTGCTGTATTTTAGAATATCATTCACTCAACTCTACTGCTGTTGTATTTTAGAATATCATTCACTCAACTCTACTGTTGGTGTATTTTAGAATATCATTCACTCAACTCTACTGCTGGTGTATTTTAGAAAATCATTCACTCAACTCTACTGCTGTATTTTAGAATATCATTCACTCAACTCTACTGCTGTATTTTAGAATATCATTCACTCAACTCTACTGCTGTTGTATTTTAGAATATCATTTACTCAACTGTACTGCTGGTGTATTTTAGAATATCATTCACTCAACTCTACTGCTGGTGTATTTTAGAATATCATTCACTCAACTCTACTGCTGTTGTATTTTAGAATATCATTCACTCAACTCTACTGCTGGTGTATTTTAGAATATCATTCACTCAACTCTACTGCTGTTGTATTTTAGAATATCATTCACTCAACTCTACTGTGTATTTTAGAATATCATTCACTCAACTCTACTGCTGTTGTATTTTAGAATATCATTCACTCAACTCTACTGTGTATTTTAGAATATCATTCACTCAACTCTACTGCTGTTGTATTTTAGAATATCATTCACTCAACTCTACTGTGTATTTTAGAATATCATTCACTCAACTCTACTGCTGTTGTATTTTAGAATATCATTCACTCAACTCTACTGCTGGTGTATTTTAGAATATCATTCACTCAACTCTACTGCTGTTGTATTTTAGAATATCATTCACTCAACTCTACTGCTGTTGTATTTTAGAATATCATTCACTCAACTCTACTGCTGTTGTATTTTAGAATATCATTCACTCAACTCTACTGCTGTTGTATTTTAGAATATCATTCACTCAACTCTACTGCTGGTGTATTTTAGAATATCATTCACTCAACTCTACTGCTGGTGTATTTTAGAATATCATTCACTCAACTCTACTGCTGGTGTATTTTAGAAAATCATTCACTCAACTCTACTGCTGTATTTTAGAATATCATTCACTCAACTCTGCTGCTGGTGTATTTTAGAATATCAGTCACTCAACTCTGCTGCTGGTGTATTTTAGAATATCATTCACTCAACTCTACTGCTGTATTTTAGAATATCATTCACTCAACTCTACTGCTGTTGTATTTTAGAATATCATTCACTCAACTCTACTGTGTATTTTAGAATATCATTCACTCAACTCTACTGCTGTTGTATTTTAGAATATCATTCACTCAACTCTACTGCTGGTGTATTTTAGAATATCATTCACTCAACTCTACTGCTGGTGTATTTTAGAATATCATTCACTCAACTCTACTGCTGTAGTATTTAACTTGAGCTCAACTCCACCAACTCTACTGAACACTTTAAATACTTTTAAACTAAGTGAATAACTTGGCATCAACTAGGTACAATGAGTTTTTAGAATGATTTCAGCTCATGGATAAAGTTGCATTCAAAAGACAACAAACCAATAGAGTTTGGTGACAATAAATTTAAAAAATGTATTTACAATCCAGACAGCTATTGCACAAAGTGGCGAGCAAGCAAGAAATAAGTAGACACGTGCTCTAGATGAGGTCCCCCTCAGGTTTGCTCCTCCATTGACCCAATAGAAAGAAAAAAAACCAACCAAATGATTGCAGAGCTGACACATGAAGCACTACTAGGAAAACTATGTGTTGACATCCACACGACAGCAAGGAGAGGCTCAAACCATGGCTGGCTCAGGTGGGGCACAGAACTGAAACAAAAAGTTTAGGGCTCACATCATGTAGGGCACAGAACTGAAACAAAAAGTTTAGGGCTCACATCAGGTGGGGCACAGAACTGAAACAAAAAGTTTAGGGCTCACATCATGTAGGGCACAGAACTGAAACAAAAAGTTTAGGGCTCAGCAGAAAAATTTACTCCACCTTTAAACTGAATGGTCCTCTCTCTGTACACACCTCTCTCAGTCACACACCTCTCTCTGTACACACCTCTCTCTGTCACACACCTCTCTCAGTCACACACCTCTCTCAGTCAAACACCTCTCTCAGTCACACACCTCTCTCTGTCACACACCTCTCTCAGTCACACACCTCTCTGTACACACCTCTCTCAGTCACACACCTCTCTGTACACACCTCTCTCTGTCACACACCTCTCTCAGTCACACACCTCTCTCAGTCACACACCTCTTAGTACTCACCTCTCTGTACACACACCTCTCTCAGTCACACACCTCTCTGTACACACATCTCTCAGTCACACACCTCTCTGTACACACCTCTCTCAGTCACACACCTCTCTGTACACACCTCTCTCAGTCACACACCTCTCTCAGTCACACACCTCTCTCAGTCACACACCTCTCTCAGTCACACACCTCTCTCAGTCACACACCTCACTCTGTCAAACACCTCTCTCTGTCAAACATCTCTCTCAGTCACACACCTCTCTCTGTCAAACATCTCTCTCAGTCACACACCTCTCTCAGTCACACACCTCTCTCAGTCACACACCTCTCTCAGTCACACACCTCTCTCAGTCACACACCTCTCTCAGTCACACACCTCTCTCAGTCACACACCTCTCTCAGTCACACACCTCTCTCAGTCACACACCTCTCTCTGTACACACCTCTCTCTGTCACACACCTCTAAGTACACACCTCTCTCAGTCACACACCTCTCTGTACACACCTCTCTCAGTCACACACCTCTCTCTGTACACACCTCTCTCTGTCACACACCTCTAAGTACACACCTCTCTCAGTCACACACCTCTCTCCGTCACACACCTCTCTCTGTCACACCTCTCTCAGTCACACACCTCTAAGTACACACCTCTCTCTGTCAAACACCTCTCTCAGTCACACACCTCTCAGTCATACACCTCTCAGTCACAAACCTCTCTCTGTACACACCTCTCTGTACACACCTCTCTCTGTCACACCTCTCTCAGTCACACACCTCTCTCAGTCACACACCTCTAAGTACACACCTCTCTCTGTCAAACACCTCTCTCAGTCACACACCTCTCTGTACACACCTCTTAGTCACACACCTCTCTCTGTACACACCTCTCTCTGTCACACACCTCTCTCAGTCACACACCTCTCTCAGTCACACACCTCTCTCTGTCACACCTCTCTCAGTCACACACCTCTCTGTACACACCTCTCTCTGTCAAACACCTCTCTCAGTCACACACCTCTCTGTACACACACCTCTCAGTCACACACCTCTCTCAGTCACACACCTCTCTGTACACACCTCTCTCAGTCACACACCTCTCTCAGTCACACACCTCTCTCAGTCACACACCTCTCTCAGTCACACACCTCTCTGTACACACCTCTCTCAGTCACACACCTCTCTGTACACACCTCTCTTAGTCACACACCTCTCAGTCACACACCTCTCTCTGTCACACACCTCTCTGTCACACACCTCTCTCAGTCACACACCTCTCTGTACACACCTCTCTCTGTCACACGCCTCTCTCAGTCACACACCTCTCTCAGTCACACACCTCTCAGTCACACACCTCTCTGTCACACACCTCTCAGTCACACACCTCTCTCAGTCACACACCTCTCTCAGTCACACACCTCTCAGTCACACACCTCTCTGTACACACCTCTCAGTCACACACCTCTCTCAGTCACACACCTCTCTCAGTCACACACCTCTCTCAGTCACACACCTCTCTCTGTCACACACCTCTCAGGAGGCCCTGTCTCTCTAGATGACTTAAAGCCAGCCTTACAATACACACTAGATAATGAGAAGAACACAACTGACCTTTAAGGATGTAATCAGTGAGCAGAGTTGGCACCGTTGAGCTGTCCTCATTGATTGCTTGTAAAACTGAGGGAATGACATCAACATCACATTGACAAAATATAAATAGACCCAAGTCTCAACTAGACTAGCTAGGGACTACTTACTTCTGATATCTCAACTAGCTAGGGACTACTTACTTTTGATGTAAATCTGAAGCTGTTCAGAAGACGGAGCACCCTGGCAGGGGTAGTAAGGAATGGCCGTGGTCAAAAACTGGGGACAAATATAATGCATGAGCTCAAACTCTTCAAGGTCACTCAAACTACAAATATAATGCATGAGCTCAAACTCTTCAAGGTCACTCAAACTCTACAAATATAATGCATGAGCTCAAACTCTTCAAGGTCACTCAAACTCTACAAATATAATGCATGAGCTCAAACTCTTCAAGGTCACTCAAACTCTACAAATATAATGCATGAGCTCAAACTCTTCAAGGTCATTCAACCTCTACAAATATAATGCATGAGCTCAAACTCTTCAAGGTCACTCAACCTCTATGATGGAGATACAGAACATTTACTGTAATCATGTTTGATACATAAGTATAGTCAATATGTTATGTAAGGTGCTGTTGATGGGCCCTATGTGCTGTTGATGTGCCCTATGTAGATGTGCCCTATCTAGTATAGATGTGCTGTTGATGTGCCCTATGTGCTGTTGATGTGCCCTATGTAGATGTGCTGTTGATGTGCCCTATGTGCTGTTGATGTGCCCTATGTAGATGTTCCCTATCTAGTATAGATGTGCTGTTGATGTGCCCTATGTGCTGTTGATGTGCCCTATGTAGATGTGCTGTTGATGTGCCCTATGTGCTGTTGATGTGCCCTATGTAGATGTGCTGTTGATGTGCCCTATGTGCTGTTGATGTGCCCTATGTGCTGTTGATGTGCCCTATGTAGATGTGCCCTATCTAGTATAGATGTGCTGTTGATGTGCCCTATGTGCTGTTGATGTGCCCTATGTAGATGTGCCCTATCTAGTATAGATGTGCTGTTGATGTGCCCTATGTGCTGTTGATGTGCCCTATGTGCTGTTGATGTGCCCTATGTGCTGTTGATGGGCCCTATGTGCTGTTGATGTGCCCTATGTAGATGTTCCCTATCTAGTATAGATGTGCTGTTGATGTGCCCTATGTGCTGTTGATGTGCCCTATGTGCTGTTGATGTGCCCTATGTGCTGTTGATGTGCCCTATGTGCTGTTGATGTGCCCTATGTGCTGTTGATGTGCCCTGTCCTACAGACTGCTCACATTATCATGTGGGGGACTGGCTGTCTTAGCTTTCTTCTTCCGTCTCTCACTATGGGAGTCCCTCCGTTTTTTCTGTATAGTCAGCAGCAGTGAGATGAACTGGTTCTTGAGCTCCTTGTCAAACTCCAGCTCATCTCTGAGGGCCAGCTCTGAGACCAGCATCTCTGACAGAACCTTGGTCGTCGTGTCGTACTCCGCCACCAACTCATGCAGCTCAGCCCCAGACATGCTTTTTATGTCTGAAACACAAGGGTGGGGGTGGCTGGTTACGGCATATCAGAGGGGTGGGGGTGGCTGGTTAGGGCATATCAGATGGGTGGGGGTGGCTGGTTACGGCATATCAGATGGGTGGGGGTGGCTGGTTACGGCATATCAGAGGGGTGGGGGTGGCTGGTTACGGCATATCAGATGGGTGGGGGTGGCTGGTTACGGCATATCAGATGGGTGGGGGTGGCTGGTTACGGCATATCAGATGGGTGGGTGTGGCTGGTTAGGGCATATCAGAGGGGTGGGGGTGGCTGGTTAGGGCATATCAGAGGGGTGGGGGTGGCTGGTTGAAAGCCTAATCCCACTTGTGTGTCCAGTTGCTTTACAACACTCAACATTGGTAAGTGACAAGTATAACAAACATATAAAGTAATCAGTACAATAATCCTGTCTAGGTGTGGTTAAGTGTCCTGTCCTAGTGTGGTTAAGTGTCCTGTCCTAGTGTGCTTAAGTGTCCTGTCCTAGTGTGGTTAAGTGTCCTGTCTAGGTGTGGTTAAGTATCATGTCATGGTGTGGTTAAGTGTCCTGTCCTAGTGTGGTTAAGTGTCCTGTCCTAGTGTGGTTAAGTGTCCTGTCTAGGTGTGGTTAAGTATCATGTCATGGTGTGGTTAAGTGTCCTGTCCTAGTGTGGTTAAGTGTCCTGTCCTAGTGTGGTTAAGTGTCCAGGTGTGGTTAAGTATCATGTCATGGTGTGGTTAAGTGTCCTGTCTAGGTGTGGTTATGTGTCCTGTCCAGGTGTGGTTAAGTGTCCTGTCCTAGTGTGCTTAAGTGTCCTGTCCTAGTGTGGTTAAGTGTCCTGTCTAGGTGTGGTTAAGTATCATGTCATGGTGTGGTTAAGTGTCCTGTCCAGGTGTGGTTAAGTGTCCTGTCCTAGTGTGGTTAAGTGTCCTGTCTAGGTGTGGTTAAGTATCATGTCATGGTGTGGTTAAGTGTCCTGTCCTAGTGTGGTTAAGTGTCCTGTCTAGGTGTGGTTAAGTGTCCTGTCCAGGTGTGGTTAAGTGTCCTGTCCTAGTGTGGTTGAGTGTCCTGTCCAGGTGTGGTTAAGTGTCCTGTCCAGGTGTGGTTGAGTGTCCTGTCTAGGTGTGGTTAAGTGTCCTGTCCATGTGTGGTTAAGTGTCCATGTGTGGTTAAGTGTCCATGTGTGGTTAAGTGTCCTGTCCAGGTGTGGTTAAGTGTCCTGTCCAGGTGTGGTTAAGTGTCCTGTCTAGGTGTGGTTGAGTGGGCAGACACCAACCTTCTTTAGAGTAGCCATTGAGAGAAGCCAATGTTTGCTTGATCTGAGTGTAAGCCACATCTTCTGGGGCATCTTGCATGGCATTCAAGTAATCTTCAGCCGAAGGTTCCTAGAGAGAAAAACATGGCATTCAATAGACGTCCAAAGTTTGGCATTAATCTTTAGGTCAATAGACTTCCAAAGTTTGGCATTAATCTTTAGGTCAATAGACTTCCAAAGTTTGGCATTAATCTTTAGGTCAATAGACTTCCAAAGTTTGGCATTAATCTTTAGGTCAATAGACTTCCAAAGTTTGGCATTAATCTTTAGGTCAATAGACTTCCAAAGTTTGGCATTAATCTTTAGGTCAATAGACTTCCAAAGTTTGGCATTAATCTTTAGGTCAATAGACTTCCAAAGTTTGGCATTAATCTTTAGGTCAATAGACTTCCAAAGTTTGGCATTAATCTTTAGGTCAATAGACTTCCAAAGTTTGGCATTAATCTTTAGGTCAATAGACTTCCAAAGTTTGGCATTAATCTTTAGGTCAATAGACTTCCAAAGTTTGGCATTAATCTTTAGGTCAATAGACTTCCAAAGTTTGGCATTAATCTTTAGGTCAATAGACTTCCAAAGTTTGGCATTAATCTTTAGGTCAATAGACGTCCAAAGTTTGGCATTAATCTTTAGGTCAATAGACGTCCAAAGTTTGGCATTAATCTTTAGGTCAATAGACTTCCAAAGTTTGGCATTAATCTTTAGGTCAATAGACGTCCAAAGTTTGGCATTAATCTTTAGGTCAATAGACTTCCAAAGTTTGGCATTAATCTTTAGGTCAATAGACGTCCAAAGTTTGGCATTAATCTTTAGGTCAATAGACGTCCAAAGTTTGGCATTAATCTTTAGGTCAATAGACTTCCAAAGTTTGGCATTAATCTTTAGGTCAATAGACTTCCATAGTTTGGCATTAATCTTTAGGTCAATAGACTTCCATAGTTTGCCATTAATCTTTAGGTCAATAGACTTCCAAAGTTTGGCATTAATCTTTAGGTCAATAGACTTCCAAAGTTTGGCATTAATCTTTAGGTCAATAGACTTCCAAAGTTTGGCATTAATCTTTAGGTCAATAGACTTCCATAGTTTGGCATTAATCTTTAGGTCATTAGATTTCTAAAGTTTGGCATTAATCTTTAGGTCAATAGACTTCCAAAGTTTGGCATTAATCTTTAGGTCAATAGACTTCCATAGTTTGGCATTAATCTTTAGGTCAATAGACTTCCATAGTTTGGCATTAATCTTTAGGTCAATAGACTTCCAAAGTTTGGCATTAATCTTTAGGTCAATAGACTTCCATAGTTTGGCATTAATCTTTAGGTCATTAGATTTCTAAAGTTTGGCATTAATCTTTAGGTCATTAGATTTCTAAAGTTTGGCATTAATCTTTAGGTCATTAGATTTCTAAAGTTTGGCATTAATCTTTAGGTCATTAGATTTCTAAAGTTTGGCATTAATCTTTAGGTCAATAGACTTCCAAAGTTTGGCATTAATCTTTAGGTCATTAGATTTCTAAAGTTTGGCATTAATCTTTAGGTCATTAGACTTCCAAAGTTTGGCATTAATCTTTAGGTCAATAGACTTCCAAAGTTTGGCATTAATCTTTAGGTCATTAGATTTCTAAAGTTTGGCATTAATCTTTAGGTCATTTGATTTCTAAAGTTTGGCATTAATCTTTAGGTCATTAGATTTCTAAAGTTTGGCATTAATCTTTAGGTCAATAGACTTCAGTGAAATAGACTTGTATAGATTGGCATTAATCTTGAGTGAAATAGACTTGTATAGATTGGCATTAATCTTGAATGAAATAGACTTGTATAGATTGGCATTAATCTTGAATGAAATAGACTTGTATAGATTGGCCTTGAGACTAACCTTCATCATGTCATCAATTTGACTGATGACTTGGTCCGCAGTCAGAATCTGATCCTCTTCCTCTGGGTGGAGACTACTGACAATCAAAGAGTGCATGTCAAAGGCTTGGGCCAGCTCTTCATCATCAGACAGGTCTAGACTCAGGGCATCACACGCACGCTAACAAAAGTTTAAACACAATTTATCGTCAGACAGGTCTAGACTCAGGGCATCACACGCACGCTAACAAAAGTTTAAACACAATTTATCATCAGACAGGTCTAGACTCAGGGCATCACACGCACGCTAACAAAAGTTTAAACACAATTTATCATCAGACAGGTCTAGACTCAGGGCATCACACGCACGCTAACAAAAGTTTAAACACAATTTATCATCAGACAGGTCTAGACTCAGGGCATCACACGCACGCTAACAAAAGTTTAAACACAATTTATCATCAGACAGGTCTAGACTCAGGGCATCACACGCACGCTAACAAAAGTTTAAACACAATTTATCATCAGACAGGTCTAGACTCAGGGCATCACACGCACGCTAACAAAAGTTTAAACACAATTTATCATCAGACAGGTCTAGACTCAGGGCATCACATGAACGCTAACAAAAGTTTAAACACAATTTATCATCAGACAGGTCTAGACTCAGGGCATCACATGAACGCTAACAAAAGTTTAAACACAATTTATCATCAGACAGGTCTAGACTCAGGGCATCACATGCACGCTAACAAAAGTTTAAACACAATTTATCGTCAGACAGGTCTAGACTCAGGGCATCACACGCACGCTAACAAAAGTTTAAACACAATTTATCATCAGACAGGTCTAGACTCAGGGCATCACACGCACGCTAACAAAAGTTTAAACACAATTTATCATCAGACAGGTCTAGACTCAGGGCATCACACGCACGCTAACAAAAGTTTAAACACAATTTATCATCAGACAGGTCTAGACTCAGGGCATCACATGCACGCTAACAAGGCATGCTCACAATATTTGCTGACCGACTGACTGACTGACTAACTGACTGACTAACTAACCGACTGACTAACTAACTGACTGACTAACTAACTGACTGACTAACTAACCGACTGACTAACTAACTGACTAACTAACTGACTAACTAACTAACTGACTGACTAACTAACCAACTGACTAACTAACTAACTGACTAACTAACTAACTGACTGACTAACTGACCTGTTCCTCTCCTATATTGAGGACCCTGTGTTGCAGGCTCCTGGCGTAAGACTTGGACCAGTCAATAGGGAGAATGTTGCCAAAGTTGCCAGTGATGGTCCACCACATCCTACACAAATACAAGAAAATAGGGAGAATGTTGCCAAAGTTGCTAATCACACTAATTTGCTACATTACTCATGCCAACTGGGCTAATTATGATTTGAATCAGATCCAGCTAGGTAAGAATAAGAAAGCAGCAGAATTCAGAATGTAATGCTGCAATCTTAAAATATGACGTATGCTATGGGCCTCCACTACTGATACCCAAACCAACGTGAATTCCCAATGACCTTTTTTTTTTTCTCCTGCTTACACGGATGACACTGACAATTTGCATATTCCTGGAATAATTTGTAAATATCTACATCACATAAGGTAATAAAAATTGCTTGTGAATGATCTAGGTGGGCCTAGTTCATGGGTCGGCAACCTTTTGAGACGGAAGAGCCAAAAGTTACCATTTACATAATTTCCCAACTTTCAAAGAGCCACCAACATTTTTATTTCAATAATTATTATGATCTTTGATTATGATTAGGGATATATATATATATATATATATATATATATATATATATATAAATTTATTTATATAAAGCAATGTGTGTATGTGTGTGTGTCTGTTTGTCTTTTATTCATAACTACACCTTTTGTTTGATCGCCATGAGACTTCAGTTGTTGAGAATACTCCTGGGGAGGTATCGCTCACTAAATGGAATCAGGTGTGTCCTCGGGCGTCTCTGCAGAGTGGCGCCCAGGGCTATCCAGTGAGCACCACATGCCTACGTCAGTTTTAAAGAGCACCATACAATATTGATAATGCTGCACACGATATTCGATGATTAAACCAAGCTAGTTTCAGTATGTGACGCCCCTGCTATAGTGTAATTGGGTTCAAGATAGCCCAACTTTCCGTCCCCGACACTGAGACAGAGAGTGATTAACGGTGATATTACGGTGAGTGATAAACTTACACTCAAGGCTTTCATACAGTACGCCCCATGGCAGTAGTGTAGGTAAACCAGTGCCCCGATAATAATTTTATGAGTTTCAAGAATAAATTAAAATAATTATTAATATTTGTGCATGTGGCTGAAGAGCCGCACCGTGACATCAGAAGTTGCCGACCCCTGGCCTAGTTGTTTCATTTAAAACTTTCTTGTTGCACAGCTCAAACAAAAAAAAAGAAAGAGTGATCTCCCCTAAAATTTGTCGAATATTCTTATATAACATTAATGGGGTGATAACTAAGGAGGATATAGACAAGATTTTTAATCCACTTTTAATTGCTTAAACTTTTGGGAATAGAAAAGATCTTGTAGAAAAAAGAATTGCCCACCAAGTGAATTGCAAACAATGTGTGTGTAATAGTGCGGAATATTAGAACTTGATAAAAAAAATTCATATGCGTTTTTGAGAAATAGAAAATAGCGTAAAGTACTTCTTCTGGTCACCGGAAATTACTCAAAATTTGACAGAAGGCAAAAAATCAGATCTTTTACTTATATGTGAAATTTTGTCTAACTATCTGAAACAGTACTCAAGTTATAGGCTTTGAAAAACCAAAAGTAGAATAAGTTCCACTTCCAGGAAATTGCTGGAAAGTTGATACAGAACTACAAATTTGATAAAATACTGACACGTGAAATTTCATTAACCTAGCTTTGTTAAGAGACAGACACACAGACATACAAACTTATGTATATAAGAAAGTAAAAAACCAAAAAACATGAGCAAAAAGAATAACAGCAGTTTCACATAAGTTTCTTTCTAGGGGTGCTTCTACCAGCACCCCGACTTCCCAATGAGTACTGTGGTGCTCATATCCATTTTAAAGAGCACCTTACTCTAGGGCTCTAGGGTGAGGCCTAATCATTCTATAAAAAGTAGCCTATAATCTACTAGATCTATAAGTATTCTATAGCGAGTATCTCAGTATAGCGTGGTGTGCCATAGATTCATAGTTCTAAATATTAAATAATTCTATCGTTTTAGGTACGTAAAATTGTCCGAGACTAGTAATGTGAAAAAATGGCGACTCATTAAATTTTAGTAATTACTTCACATTTTTAGGTCAAAGTTTCATTCATGTAGGCCTACCTGTTTTTAAACAAGTGTAATTGTAGGCCTATTAAAACTTTTCAATAAAGACTAGAGTCTAGCGATGTTTTCATCAGATGCAACCAAGCTCATTTGCTTTAGCAGTAACTTGTTTATTTTTTTTGGTACAATTATAGTTTGAGATTCAGGGGAAACCACTCTAACTTACAGATGGCCGCTGTTTAGGCCTGCTCGCAAACACTGCTGTATGAAGTTAATTTCTGGCCTATATTTTATTGATATATTTATTTAAATTTGGCCATTGATTTTGATTTATAATTCAGTTATCTATTATATTTGACACCTATTACTAAACTATACTCTATAGGCCTACTTCTATTACTATTAATTAATGTATTATAGATCTAGTATTAAAGTTAAATAAACAATGAGGCAACTTTTTCTCACATTACACTGCTTACAGTACTTACTAGCCTCGGCCGATTTTAAGCACCTCTAAAGCGATAATTAATAAAATACTTACTGGCAATCATTCATTATTTCTTCTTGTGATCGGATCTGAACAGGCGCAAACGCCTCCACTTGTTCTTCTAAATTATTAAAACATTTTGTTATTCTTTCATCGAATGAATTTACCAAATCCTCCAAAGATCCGGATACTAAATCATCAAAATTTGACCCTTCGTCTCGGTCGTCAAGCGATTTTTCTTCTGGTTTTTGTTTGCATAATAAGCTAGGCCTATCAATGTTAGATGATTTAAATTCGTTAAATTCACTCCACTCTTCGTTTTCAAAAGAAGCTAATGGTGCCTCAAACTGCAATTCCGCCATTTTCGGACACTTCATCAGGGTACTCCGCTACTCATCAATCCTTGAACTCTGGCGCTAATTAATTAATTTATAATTATTTCGCTACAGCAAAGCATCTAAAATTTACAAAGTGAAATAAAAGCAATAAATTAATTAAGAAAAGTAGATCTAGATCTAAATATTTTTAAAAAGTAGATTTAGTTGGTGACAGCTCGCCTACGCCTAGATCTAGATCTAGCAGTATGGATTATGCTAATGACGTTGGTGCCACTAGAAAAAGGAAGGATTGTTGCTGCTGTGCTGGACTGCTAGAACTGTGTCGAGATTACTAGGTTGTCTAATTTTTACTCTCAAGTATACAGAGTGGACGAAGTATTAGGCCTATAACCGTGCTCAAAGATCACATGAAATTTTGATAAGGGGTCATCCATAAATGACGTCACGCGTTTTTTGACGTCACACATCGTCACAAAAAGTCAGACCCCCTAAAATGAGGTCACACCTCAGCCTACAAACTCCCTCAAAATTGCAGTTGAATTTTTTAGCGCAATTTCCATTCTGGAGAATAGCGTTTATTAACTCGTCTTTTCTGGGAATGGATGGATGTGTGTCCGCAGCTTTAAGTCTATCTCCTCCTCAACGAAGCAATATCAAGGACCAGTTCCAAAAGCAAATATGTTAAGCAAGTTACGAGGAGGAACATAGGCCATAAAACTTCCGGGTTTCTTTCATAGATTTCCCGGAAAAGCCAAAAAACCTCGAAAAAATGCAGTTTTTGGCCCATATCTCGGCAACCAGACCACTTAGCGACTTGAAACATTTACCAATCGATTCCTGCCATAATTTAGAACAATATTGCCGAAGAAAGTTTTCAAAAATATCCTTTCGTTCGGTCACAAACATTTTTATGAATTAATTAAAATTTTTAACGAATTAGTAGGCATGTTTATCCAACCACACCACACGCGTCATCACGTTCAATAGCTGCGCCATCACGTTCAATGGCTGCGTCATCACGTTCAGTAGCTAGGCGCGCAATGGTTTTTAGTCATGTAACTCTATTGTAAATAAAACATGTAAAATACTGAAAAAAAAATTCATAAAAAACGTTTTAATAACTAACCAATGGTTTTACTAACCCTGCTCTTGATTTACGCTACGACAGAGCTATTTTTAGATAACATAAGGAAATGGCGCTAAAATTGTCACTAGACTTTTTAATTACCTTTTTTTTAAATATGGATATTTTTCCAAACTCTTATCTGAACTCTGTCAAAATACAGTATTTTAATCAATTCCTATTACAGTTTATTAAAACAGTTTTCTAAAACATGAAATAACGTCTAAAATTCGTTTTCTAACATTGCTTTTTTATAATGCAAAAGTGTGACGTCGCACCATCTGAACCAGAGTTTCTTCCAGGCATCTCGGTGCCCCCCGAAGAAAGTCTACCGCCCCCCCCCCCCAAAGAAATGGAATATATATAGGAAATATATACTTTTGACAGTGTCCGCCCCCCGGAAATTGTTGTCCGCCCCCCCCCCCCCCACCGAAAATTTCAAGTGCACCCCCGGAGAAAAAAGTCTGGAAGAAACACTGATCTGAACCCCCCCCCCCCTCCCTTCATCACACACCGTCACAAAATTACGGACCCACCCTCCCCCTACGAGTGTGACGTCATTTATGGACGACCCCTAAATACAAATGGTAGCTGCAGTGAGGTTAATTCGGTGCACCTCCAAAACGGCCCGGGACAAACCGGCCCCGTCAAATCGGCCACGTTAATATGACCCCGTCAAAACGACCCCGTTAAAATAGCCCCGTCAAAAGTGCCCCGACTTATGGGCTCCCGTCAAATGGGCTCCCGTCATACTGACTCGCGACATATAGGCTCCCGACAAATGGGCTCCCGAAATTTAGGCTCCCGACAAATGTACTCCCGACATATTGGCTCCCGACAAATAGGCTCAGGACATATTGGCTCCCGACAAAGCGGCTCCCGACAAATTGGCTCCCGACATAAGGTCTCACGACATATTGGCTACCGACAAAAGGGCTCCCGGCATATTGGCTTCCGACAAAATGACTCCCGACATAATGGGCTCCCGTCAAATGGGCTCCCGTCATACTGACTCGCGACATATAGGCTCCCGACAAATGGGCTCCCGAAATTTAGGCTCCCGACAAATGTACTCCCGACATATTGGCTCCCGACAAATAGGCTCAGGACATATTGGCTCCCGACAAAGCGGCTCCCGACAAATTGGCTCCCGACATAAGGTCTCACGACATATTGGCTACCGACAAAAGGGCTCCCGGCATATTGGCTTCCGACAAAATGACTCCCGACATAATGGCTCCAGACAAATGAATCGCATTACCACAATTGGCATCCGCTACCACTATAACCTGTTTTAAATGCCTGCATCAAATTGTTTTTCATGAACCAACATCACTTCACAAACAAATCTAGCCCTTAACACAGTGGCGTAGCTACCGTAAAGCTAGCGTAAGCAAGGCATAGGGGCCCAAGAAAAATATGGGCCCTTTTCCCTCTATAAAGTAAATTATAACTTTTACATTGGAATTTTTATATTTCTTCTATAAAAATAATTTAAAAAAGAGAATGGAAATCCAGTTTCTTTTCTACTGTAGGAAAAAAAAAATCAAAAGTTCAACACAAAAAAAAGGGGGGGGGGGGTCGTAAAGGGCCCATCGGTATTAATAACACTCCAGGCTTTGTTGCATTTTCTGGCAAATCGTTGAGAGAATAAGAATATTTAAAAAAAAAAAAAAACATGAACATTGACTCTTTTGTTAGAAATCATCCGGCACCAGTCTTCTTCTTCGTTCTTCATTTTTAGTGTTGAGAGGGATCGAGCCTTATCTGCCAGAGGGTTTGAACTCGAGACTTTTTTCGAATTTATCAACCATGAGCTTTGCCGACTCGACCATGCTTCCATCACAATTAAGGATTACGTGTCACCTGGTTTTGTGCCATTGAGGCCATTGACTCCGATTTCAGCCTGCTTTTCTTTTTGGATTTGCTTCCATAGCCTTTGTCCAACCAAGAACAAACTACAAGGCAGCAGTTGTTTGATTTTGGAGTTGTCTCTCCTAGAAGAGTGGCTGTCCCCAGCTAACTAGCCTCATCTGCCCGAGGGTTCGAACTCGAGAATTTTCGGTTTAGCAATCCGGCACCAGTAAATTTACAAGCATAGCTACAAACCTTAAATGGCTAGGAAATTCTCTACCTCGCCCCCACAAACTTTACCCCCCCCCCCTCCCCCCTCTCAACTGTCTGTCCTCACCGACATTGCATCCATCCATGATTAAAATTGAGCCTTTTTTACATAACAGCTGTGGACAGTGTTTTCACAACAATTTAAGTCTGCCTGTCCTTTATGCATTAAGACAAAACTGAACCAATCGCCATGAAAAATTGGGAAGTAGTTTAGAATACTTCAAACATACTTCAACTAATTTCCTTCACAACCCCACATACGAGAAGCTGTCCCCCCCCCCCCTCAAAGTGAAGCCAGAAAGAAACTCTGACTCCTGTAAAGTTTTCTGCGATTAATGTTGTCTTTATTTCGTTCGGAGGGCAGCGCCCTGGCAGTAAGGCGGTTCGGTTTGCCACCCAGAGTTTCTTATCATCTTTCTTAGCACTTGGGGTCAGTTAATTGGGTGTCCTGCACAAGGGGTCAGGGTTACTGCTTTATTCAACGGTCAAACTGCACAGGCGCGCCAGCCGGCGCCCTGGGTTTCCCTGGTAGCACTATGGCACATATACTTGTTTTGATGAGCGCCATGCCATAGGAATACGGAAGACTGCTATAATCGATGACTTAATAAAATAAAGGGTGTCCTCCAGCGCCTCGACAATAGTAGCCGATACGGTTGGGCGCCCCGAGTCTCTCCATTATGGTGATGTTGTTATGAAACAAATTGTAGATATGCCCTTTGAGTCAGTAACTTAGCCATTCTAAGTATGGAACATACAAAAGCAGCTTAAAAGGACCTCAAGGAAAAAATTTAATCATTGCGAACTTGAAAGAGAACAATAAATCGAAACAAATCACTAGCAACTTTTTAAAATTTGTGTTTGGTTAGTGGTACGGTTTCACCCGGTGCGTTAAGTGAGTGTCACGTCACCCCACCCTCACCACCTCCAAGAATTTTGCATTTCCGGTGGAGTGTTACCCCCTCTCCTAAATATTTTGTTATTTTAACTGGATAATTTATGCTTTTACATAAAGGTGATATACAATCAAATGTGTTTTACGTTACGGGGTACTGCATAATAACAACGTATAAATACACAGGACGTATATATTTTACAGATTGACGAAGGGGCCCAATGATATTTTTTGCATAGGGGCCCGAAAATCCTAGCTACGCCACTGCCTTAACAGCTAAATTACACCAATTCTAAAATTGTGATACTGTTTAATTTACAACAGAAAAGATCTGTTGCTTAAAAGCGAGCACAGAAGTGTAAATGTAATTAGTAATAAAACAGATAGTATTAGTTACCTCACAAGTTAAAGACAGTTACAAGTACTATGGACGTTTCGACCCAAGGTCTTCGTCAGCACACAACAGTGTGATTACAGATTAGACAAATAAAGACAAAAACAAGTTTGAAAAATATACATGATGTTTACAGGTTAACGACATTTTGTTTTCATAACCTACAAGCCTACTGCAGGTAGGAATGTACACCGTGGACCCATCCCCACACACTGAGTTGGAACAGCCTATAACCGACTTACTTATGGAAGTCATAGATAGATGACCCTTAAATTAAAACATACTATTTCTTATAATAGATAAAATAATATAAGGCCTGTCGAACAAGAGATGCATAAGTTGTGTTACATAAGAGTGTTGGATAAGCTAACTCTAAAGAATATTGATGAAGGGGTCCCACTGGCAGGTGTCATATTCAATGAGACTGTTTTGCCGGGAGACTTAATCTCTACAGAAACCGTATTGTCAGTGGTCCTTTAGTCAGGAGCCAAATTGACAGGAGCCTATTTGTCGTGAGCCAAATTGACGGGAGCCTATTTGTCGGAAGTCGTAATGACGGGAGCCGTTTTGTGGAAAAACTAAATGGCGGGAGCCTATTTGTCGGGATTCGTAATGACGGGGGCCGTTGTGTGGAAAAACTAAATGGCGGGAGCCTATATGTCGCGAGCCTTATTGACGGGGCTCTTATGTCGGGGCCGATTTGTCGGGGTCGTATTGACGGGGCCGTTTTGTCATTGGCCGGTTTGACGCCGCACGGGTTAGTTCAATCTATCTATCTTCTATATATATAAAAAG